ATTTGTAGGGACTTTCCAAACGAAAGTGAACAACTGAATCCGGAAGGGCCCTTCCAGAAGTCCGTTAGCGAAGGGAACATGCCATGGTCACTTCATGGAAGTGATTTCCATTTGTGATCGTGTGATCTTCAGTTAGAAGATCTTGCAACGCATTTTAAAGCAAAGTTGTGGTTGATTTTGACTTCTCATACAAACGTAAGTAGAACCGGCTAATTAAATTTTTTTTATTTTAATCTAATACAAAATATTTTTCGTCAGAAATTTTCTAGGGTGACCATACGTCCTCTTTTCCCTGGACATGTCCTTTTTTTGGACCAAAAAATGTGCGTCCGGCCAGGATTTCTTAATCGCCCAAAATGTCCGGGATTCGGTTTAATCGATTTAATACATTATAAAACCAAAACAAGCAAGCAAAAAAAAAAAACCTGGCTCCAAAGTCCCCTTTTCAAATGAGAGCAAGTTTTGTATTTCATTTGGAAACCAAGGTCCTAGAGTCTGGAGGAAGGGTGGAGAAGCTCATAGCCCAAGTTGCTTTTAGTCCAGTGTTAAGTTTCCACGGTCTGTGATGATTTAGGGTCACTGCACCCGTTTACCAAGACATTTTGGAGCAGTTCATGCTTCCTTCTGCTGACCAGCTTTTTGAAGATGCTGATTTCATTTTCCAGCAGGATTTGGCACCTGCCCACAATGCCAAAAGCACCAAAAGTTGGTTAAATGACCATGGTGTTGGTGTGCTTGACTGGCCAGCAAACTCACCAGACCTGAATCATCACAATTAAAAGAACCAAAGACTTAAACTACTTCAGTCTGTGTGCACTGAATTTATTTAATACACGAGTTGAGTCTTTGTCAAGGTAACATTTGGTCAGTCATTCCCTTCGCCAAGGGAGTTCCAAACACTTAAATGAGACAGTAATGCCCTACACCCTTCAAAGAACACACTTCAAGGGCTCTGCCCTTCGGGAGTAGGGCATAGGGATGCTCACTTCCGTTTAGAATTCGCTCAAAATGTTAACGTTGTTTCAACATTGAAACAACAACTGTCATTATTTCAACCATATTTCAATGTTGAAAGTTGGTCATGTGCTGGCTGGTTTTCAACCGTTCAGCATTAAATGTTGTATCAACGTCGTTTCAACGTTAAAATAACAACTGACCTTATTTCAACCATACTTCAACGTTGAAGGTCGGTTATGTGCCGGCTGGGGCAGATGGAGACTGACCGTTCTCTCAAATGACAATGAGAACCAAAACAAGGATTTCCATATGATTATTACTTTTATTTTGTTGTTTGTTCATTTGAATAGTTTGTTTAAACACCACCAACAAAAATAGCTGCTTGCTTAAGCATTTCTAATTTTAGACTGCAGTTCTGTGACTGTGCCATTGGAAGTGTGCTATAGCATATATGTCATATTGTGTCCTTGTACGCACTCCAGTCTGGTTGTAATACACTGAACCGTGATCGTATTTGCCTACATTTTGAACTGTAATGAATTCTAAACTACTATAGGGAAGATTATTTTACAACAGTGGCCTTATGTTACACTGAAATGTTGTAATACTGTAGTATAAAGGCTTTTTAAATGCAGTAGAGTTTTTGCAGTGTCACTGCACCACATTGCAGTTTAACAGCTCAGCACAGAATCGATTCTTCTGGATAGCAAATCAATAACTTGACCGTACCCTGGCTGCATCATGGAAAACAAGAAAACCGACAAGAATAAGCTATATCCTCCAGTACAGACTTAACTGTACTTATGGGGTGCATATAGCAGAGACAGTGGCCAGTGCTGTGTATACCTGATAGTCACTTTTGTAATTTTAGTAATTTTTTGTTGTTGCTGCTGTAAATATATAACATAAATGTTTTTACAGGTGCTTCTGCTGCTTCTGTATCTGTGTGTTTGCAGTATTGTTAAACAAAGGTAAGTGTAACCATTTCCATTGGATGTGTGTGTACAAATATTTTTATCAGTATCAAAAATTATTATTATTTTTATTATTATTTTAATGATTTTCAAAGGCTTGACTCTCATTTTCAGCATGTCTGCAGGTCACTGTTGAAGGTGAAGTCGGAGGCTCTGCTCTCTTGCCCTGTTCTTCTATTGGCAACGGCCTTAAAAATGAAGATGTAACAGTTTATTGGAGACATAATAGCAGCCAAAATGTTTATGACAAAATTGAGGGTAAAGGATTGGTGGAGAAGCAGGACCTGGCGTACAATAACAGAGTTGAAACCTTCCCTAATCAGTATATGAAAGGAAACTTCTCACTCAAACTCAACAACCTTCAATATAAGGATGCCGGAAAGTACATCTGCTACATCACAAAGGCACATAAAAATCCAAGCACAAAGGTATGTAAAAAATGATAAACATTTTTTACAAGTTTTTTAAACAAAAGTTTGTATTTATTTAAACATTATCAACTTTAATACAGTTTGTTAGAGACTGATTAACCCATAGCCTAACATATCAAAGCCTCTATACTGAAAAGCCTGCTGTACACAATCTACTACATGCCTATAATGATAGTTCATTCAAGTAAACTGTATTTTAGTATAACTGTAAAAACATCCATCTTCAGGTAATGGTTCCTTTTGTTTGCTTTTTTCCCACTGGGTGCTTGAGTTTCTGCCCTTTACTAAATTAATCAGAAGTGCCCCTCTCAACAATTATGAACAATATTGTGGTCAATAAAATAAAATACATTTTAATTATAATTAATATATGACATGAACAAAGGTTTTATTTTTATGCTTAAATGAAGCCTAGGTGCCACCTACAGTCCTATTATGTGAAGTGTAGGCCTGAAGGTTGACGTTTTTACAATTGTACTAAAAGACCTTTTACGTGATAAAAAGAAGTATCATTATGTGGACTAGTAAGAGTGTGTACAGCAGGTTTTTCAATTTAGAGGCCTTAGAACGCCTGAAATGGTATGGAGCTAATATTATGACAAAACAATTTGAATTTGAATTGTTAAATTTGAATTATTGACAAGTATTATTTAACAAAACTGAATATTATGTGGGATTTAAAATCGTTTTGAATTTGATTTTGATTTTAAATTAGAATTTTTTTTTTTACTTGAATATATAACATTTGAAATTTAACACAAATGCTTTTTTTAAGGCAGAGTTTTATAGACGTATTTTCAAACAACAGATTTTTTTGTTCTGAATTCTTAGACTGCAAATATCCAGTTTTTAAAAATACAGCTTCAAGTTTTCAAGATGAAGAAGAAATTCGGAACATCAAATTCAATTTTCTAAAATTCAAAACGTAGAAATTCAGATCGTACAGAAAGTAGGTCAGAGGTCATTCACAGCAAAGAGTAGATGATCTCCGAAAAGTGGAACAAAGCATTTTGGCTAATTGTCAAAGTGGCTTTAGGAAGGGAAGAAGCACAATAGATTCTGTGGTGAGACTGGAGACTGAAATAAGAAAGGCGCAAGCAAATAGAGAGTCTGTAATTGCAGTATTTTTCGATATAGAAAAAGCTTACGACATGATGTGGAAGGAGGGGTTATTAATCAAACTAAGTAAGATAGGGGTTGAGGGAAGAATGTTTAACTGGATCAAAGATTTTCTGTTCGGAAGGAAAATACAAATAAGGATTGGGGCGGATTTATCAGATCAATACATAGTTGATAATGGCACACCACAAGGCAGTGTGATAAGCCCATTACTTTTCATTATTATGATTAATGATGTATTTGGAACAGTTCCAGAAGATATAGGAAGGTCTTTGTTCGCAGATGATGGGGCGCTATGGAAGAAAGGAAGGAATATGGAATATGTTACTAGGAAAATACAGGAAGCAATTGATATAGTGGTGGAGTGGGGCTATAATTGGGGGTTTAGGTTTTCTATAGAGAAGACTCAGTCAGTCTTCTTTACCAGAAAAAGAATTCAGGAAGGACTAAAGTTAAGAATGTATGGGAGAGATTTAGAGAAAGTTGGAACTTTTAAATTCCTTGGAATTAATTTGGATTCACGTTTGACATTTGCAGATCATATCAGGAGAATGGAAGAAAAGTGCAAAAGAGTAATAAATGTAATGAGATGTTTGAGGGGAAAAGAATGGGGTGCAAGTAGATTATCAATAAAGAGAATATATGTGTCTCTAATTCGATCGGTGTTAGATTATGGGTGTGTGGTTTTTGGTTCTGCAGCTCAATCTCTGTTAAAAAAGCTTGATGTAATCCAGGCACAGGCCTTGAGGCTGTGTTGTGGAGCTTTTAAAACTACCCCAGTGTTAGCATTACAGGTAGAAATAGGAGAATGTCCTTTAGAAGGAAGCAGTTGATGGTAAATTATTGGGCAGGTTTACAAGGGCACAATGATTCACATCCTACTAAGGCAATGTTACAGGAGAGCTGGGAATATGGGAAAAGGCTAAATGATAACTTTGGTAGGATTGGAAATGACTCAGCTAAAGAATTGGGAGTTTTTAATTTGAGGATAAGTTGCACAGTAGTTTATCCAGAGACGGCTCCCTGGAAGTTAGTTTGGCCTGAGGTAGATTGGTTTGTGTTAGAGGAAAAAGGGAGGGCAAAGGAAGATATAAATCTAAAAATGGTCTTCAACAATCGGATAGCGGAAAAATATAATGATTACATACAGGTTTATACAGATGGTGCCAAGGAACCAGAGACGGAAGTAACCGGATTGAGTGTGGTGGTTCCAAGTAAAGGAATTGGAATTAATAGAAGAACATCTAATATGTTAGGGGTTTATACAGTGGAAATGCTGGCAATATTAATCGCTGTACGATGGGTGGAAAAGACAGGGCAGCATAACGTTTTGGTTTGTTCAGATTCTTCATCAGTTTTAGCAAGTATAAGGTCATTTTATTCAAAAAGTCGGCAAGATATACTGTTTGAAGTCCTACAGTCAGTTACAAGAATATATAACCAAGGAAGGCAGATCAAATTTTTATGGGTACCAGGACATGTAGGGATAAGGGGAAATGAAATGGCAGATAAATTAGCTAAAACGGCGTTAACAAAAGGAAACATAGAAATGCAAGTAAGTATCAGTAAAGCAGAGGTTAAAAGTGTGATATGGAAGACAATAAATCAAATGTGGCAAGAGAGGTGGGATAGAGAGGGGAAAGGAAGGCATTTATATCAAATCCAGAGGGATGTTAAATGTTCAGTGATTGGTAGTGGAAATCGCAGAGAGGAAACAGTCATATCTAGGTTAAGATTGGGACATTTTTTCTAAAATTCAAAACGCAGAAATTCAGATCGTACAGAAAGTAGGTCAGAGGTCATTCACAGGGAAGAGTAGATGATCTCCGAAAAGTGGAACAAAGCATTTTGGCCAATTAGAGCTGCAGTAGTTTTCTGGCGCGAGCGTGCGGCTCAGAAGGTCGCCATTCTTCTGCCTGATCATGAATCGCCCAGAGGTAAGTGATTTTTAAGCATTTATGGTTTATATTTAGATATTATGCTAGCGTTCCCAGCATGTGAAACATTTAAGCGGTCTCTGGTGTTTGTTTTAAAGTATATTTGGTGTAAAAGTGATTAGCATGCCACCGTGTCTATACTAGACGCGACTGCGCCGCGCCGCAACAGCTTGAAATGACAAAGCGGCCGTTGTAAAGAGCTTGGACTCTGCCAGAAATACAAGGGGAATCTGTTTGCTGTTGGAAATTTTTGCATTCAGTGTAGACACTATCACTGATTACAGTCAACGGGTTCTACTGTTTTCTGTCGCAGCACTTCGCACCTCTCACGTACAGTCTAGACCAGGTGTAAGCGTCATAACTCCAGAGACGGATTAAGGCACGGCCTACTGGGGCAGTACTCGGGGAACTAGGCCAGAGGGGGACCCAGCCGAAAAACCGCTCCTCCCGGAACGGGAGATTTTTGAGCCAAGTGGATTTTGAATGCAGCTTCCCAAAGACAAAAAAAAAAAAAGAAATAGCCAAATAATAGTTTTTATTTAATATACGATCACACCAGTGTGATTAGAACATTCAGTGCT